CGAATGCTTCCATCACCATTTCGGGCTACCCCGACAAAAGCATCGCAAGCGGACACGTCATCTACGGCGGTACGAGGCCTGTCGGTTCGCTTTGCGTCGCACCTGCTCCCACTTTTGTCAAATTTCTCGACTAATCGACGCGTGTACCGCGCGTTAACCGACGTCATTCTGCAGTTGATAGCGTCGCAGCGGTGAGGCGTTTCCACAGCATTCGATTGGCGCTCACCAAAGAGTCGCATAAGGATCACGAGCTGATCCACGAGCATGATACGAGACTGCGGTTGAACTGGGTGGTCGTTCAACATTGCTAACGCAGCGAAATGACCGTGATGGCTGTGGTTACCTTCATTAACCTTCGTCATATCCATTGCTCGTACCACGAACAATCCGTGCAGAGAAGGATTTCGTCAGTGATCTCACAGCCGGTGGTGTTCTCTGTCCATCCAGCGTTGTTACGATGCACCACGCTGGATGGACAGACAACAGAACAAATGCTTCACATTTCTCAACATCCACGTCCAAATAAATGTTGCACTCCAGGGTCATTCCACAGTTGCAGGCTGAAAGCTTATTGAGTGCCGTTTGGTGTCCGCAGGATGGTGCGCCTGCCCATTCCGCACAAACGATACGTGAATAGCCTAACGAAACTTTCTGTAATTGCTGGATCGATTGTGGACGACCTATTGATGGGCCTGCACGGTCTCCTGATTTGAACCCTTGGATTTCTTCCTATGGGGATACTTGAAACGCCGAGTGTATAAAACCAGGCCAACCTTTCTGGAAGAAGTGAAACGGAACGTCATAAACGAATACCGCGGTATATCGGTAGACACTGCAGAAAGCGTTAGCCCATAGCATCCGGCAAGTACTACTTGTGTAGCGAAACGACGGTAGTCATTTTGTACATCTACTTCATTGATTTTTTCTCTTGAAACATGCTTCATGTAAATATAGGTCTAATACATAACGGTTGATTTCACTAGCACATTGTTACGATGGATAATAGTGCCAATACTTCGTCGGGGTTGAATGAACGCTACGAGAAAAAAGAACAAGATGGGTACGGGAGAAACGCGCGATCGCTCAATTGCCCGACAGGGTGCAGCCGTCGCTGTCGATGTTTACCGTAAAGTTGACGGCGGTGGACGTAACTGTTTAAGCTCTGTAGGCCGCATTATGCGCTTCTTGAAAGCCAGGATCAAGTACTTCCGTTGCTCATATGATGTCAAGCTCGTTTTTGTCAAGTAACTCAATTATGCTTGCCGCCATTCATGGTTCTCCAATGATAAGGGAACTGTCGCTGTACGTAGGAGCTACAAGCTAGAGATGTTTTCACCACCGATTATAGTTGGATACTTTGGCACTTCGCTTAGGCCGTTATAGGTCCAATATGGCGCACCTGCCTATTATGGACAAAGTGTGCGGTATTATCTTAAGGTGTTCGGGCACCGTTGGATCGGTCCCAGAGGTCCAAAGGATTGAGCTGACCGGCACCAGATTGGGACCCCTTACATTTCTTCCTATGGGGTTATTTGAATGGAAGAGCATACAAGAAACGCCTGTTTCACTGGAACAACTGGAAGGCAGTATTGTCCACGAATTTCGCGCCAGCAACAAGTAAACTTCGTAAAAAGTTATGGCGTATTGCCTCAGGTGATTTCCGCAGTGCAAGCAGAACGCCGGCGGACACGTTGAGCATCTTCGTCGTTGACGGACATATCACCGTTTTATGCTGTTTATGTAAATATACGTATTTACCGTTATCACTGATTTCTGGAGTACATTTGTGCACGAGCAAATGGTGCTAAACGTGCGTCGGGCCAGAATGCAATCCAAGAGCAAAGCTGCTTCGACAGGGTTTAGATTGATCACTTCTATGCAACTTGGTTCACGATGTTAATACTTGCTTTTTAATAATTGTGCCTAAGGACTACGGGGAGGATGTGAAAGAGATGATGGTGCGAGAATAGGCTACACGGTTTCGCACCTGTATCCTGTGCATCGGCGTACAGACATTGACGTGGGGTGAGTGTTTCCAAACAATAACATATCGGTCGCACAAAGGGGAAAGAAAGGTCGTCCATAAGAATACAGACCTTGAAAGGGTGGCGTATCGATCATTCTGCATTTCATATTCGGAGTTTGCTGCATGATGTGTCAGAACAGTTAGCACAGGGAGAACGGGCTTGTGGTGCACAGTATGCGTGAGAACCCACATGCGCGTGCTGTAATTCCACGATTTGTCACTCATTTTTTCGAGCCAATGAGCTTCGCGTTTTGTGCAATACGTGATTCTCAATATCCGCAAGGATTAGATATTGTCTAGAAACGCAGCTTCTCAGTTCCGTGCTACTAGAATATTGCCTCATCAGTGAATTTGTTATAATGAACACTCATGGTCCTGCCTGAACCAAACTGCGCAGCGTAACCACACTTGTTCCCTGAAACGGCGATCAATACTGCGACGGGAGAATAGCTATGCGGTAGCGAGCAGTCTGTAGGCGGCAAGGATTTTCAACTCCCTTCTCAAAATATCACGTTTCATAGTTTCAAGGTCCACTTGTAAGGAATGCCTATTTTGCTAAGGTAGGTTGCTGGAAGGTAAATTTCAGTCTAAAAGAGTCTTGACGATAACCCTTTTGTCATTAGCTGAGATAATACTAAGCACCTATTGCACACTCCTTGCTCAAGTCAGTTACGGCTGTCCAATTCTACCGCAGTAGCCCGGTAATGATGCACTGCTGTTCCGATTTTGCACGTCTGTCTCCGTTCCAACCAACTCGACACACCGTATGTATCGATCGGTGAACTTGCTCTGTGGCGTGCCGTAGGTTGACGCCAACGCAACCATCCACGCCTGATCCAGCGTTTTCACGATGGACGACACTGGCAAGTACACATGTACCCATAGGTATGCATACGGTCGTTCTACACCCATGGGACTTGGTGCAACATTTTGAGGTGGCCCAGCATCTACTATTGGACAGTTGGCAATTTATTGCACTCTGCATCACACCCGAATTCGTGACCAATTGTCCCGCATTAACAGAGTAGAGAGATCAGTTTTGGAAAGGCTCTGTATGCAGCTTAGTCGTAGAGAACCTAACTGACCCATCTTCGTGCAACAAGTGTTGCTGGAGAAGTGCGTAGACTCAACGTCGCTCGACACATGCGTTTGGTATCGGGTCACAGTTGCGCGCAGTGTGCCGACGATGTCAATCCGCCATCTTGTAGTCGATGATAACTCAATGTCATGGCATGCAATGATTCACACGTTGGGAACAAATGATTGGGGTCCTTGACGGGATCGTTACCTGATTTAGTCTAGTTTCCTGTGCGCGCATTCAGCTCCTCACCTATTGCATGCCTCGATGTTGCGAACTACGTATGTACGCGTTCTTACTTTGAGGACTCATGGGTGCATCCAATCGGTGATGACTCTGTGTCCTACCACGCGGTAGACCACATGACATGCAGCCGATCTGCACACCTGAGTTGGGCGGCTGGAGGTGTCCGCACTCTAAATCGATGGTACCACCTCCTAGAGCAGATGCGCATCTAACGTCGCGTTGGTGGTGGTGTGTAGGGGGTTAGACACAGTGATCGGAGTCCATTTGCGTGCATACTTGTCTCCGACTGACGCCGTGTTTACCTGGAACCGTCATGATCTCCTTTGCCCCTTACTTGCGAGTTTTGATATTATTCTTTGCAGTTAGCTCCAAACGCATTCATTTTGCTGCTGTTGAAGGTGTTGGAATATGCCCGACCAACCTTCGTGAAGTGCGACCACCAATCTACCCTCAGCCCATTCAAAGTGAACAGTGCATCCCGATTTTAATACGTGCGTACGCAGTGTGATGTACGAGAATGGGTGGTCGCAGTGGATAGCGAATCCCAGTCATTCCGTGGGCCATACGCGTTTACGTGCGTCTGGCAACCTCAATATTACCACAGACTATTGTCCTTTGTTTGACTTATGTCGCGGAGCAAGTCAAATGGTGCACGATGGCTTGCCTGAGTGAGATTTCCGCCAAGTGACTAAATTACGTTTTCACTAGTGTGCCACATTGCCACGTTGCGCTACATCCACAGAAAGCCATGTACCTCAACCGTGTGTGTAAAACTCACGTCGTCGAAAAACAACCCAGAGATGTCGGGAACTTGGTTGCTTGGACAACCGGGTAACTAAAAGCCGTGATGGATGTTGTGTGTTCGCACGGAACTAGTATCTGAAGTATGAAGCCATAAATTCCCCGGTGCAGTGAACACTGTTACGACCAGAGAGGTTTACTGGTACCGAACGTGTACATGTATACGCAACCCGGAACCAACTAGATGGCATCAATCCACACGGTGCGCACTCTGAATACAAAAATGCGTTAAACTAATTACAAAAGGCCGGAGTTTGTCTAGTCATCAGCAGACGCCGTGCAAAATGTACTGAACGCTACAAACGAATCGAGTCCACGGGTTCACCCAGTCTGGTGGTCGGAGTGATCGAGAAATAACGAAATTATGATGCCTTATTGGTACTACAACGTTTTAAATGCACTGTCATTGGAAAAGCCGGGTCTCATGTCTAATATCACTGAGTGTAATGTAAATAATTTGGAAAACGAAGCGGTTAGTGAACACAGCCGATCCTTTTACGTGGGCGTCCTATCGCACTACCATGAAATGGAAAAGATGAAATACATTTTGGTCCGCATTAATGCTCACTGGGCTACCGATGATTTGATGGGTCCACTAATCGGTGATCTGGACTTGGGAGTTTGACAAAAGAGTTATTGGTTGGCAGCACTGAACAGCATCCAGTGCATTTGTGGCTGGAGGGCAAAGTGGCCGGTGGACTTTGGGGAACAACCAGAGAAGCTGAATGTTCCTCTATGACTTTTGGCCGGAAACTTTCCCGAAGCCGGGCAATCCATTTATGTATGCTTAAAATGAAATCATGCTGTCGAAAATTTAAAAAAAACGAACGAAAGATTTGATAAACGTACAGCATTCCTGTTCATCTTCGCCGCCTGCACAGTCCGGTGTACCGTCGCACCAATAAGCGAATGGGATGCGTTGCCGACTTCCTGAGGAGCATTGGAAATGAGTCGATCCGCACCGAGGATCCAAATTGCGCGTGTCTGAATCGGAGGGATATAACAGCAAAATTAAGCGCAGTATAAGTGACTGATACAGTGGATTTAGTTCTTTTCACACGTAGGGGATGACGATGAGTGGCAAACAGTCGATACGATGGAGTGAACGAAATTAATTCTCACCATTACGGCAATCGAGTTCGTCATAACCGTTTCCACAGTCGTCCTCTCCATCACAGCCCCAATGCTGTTGAAAATGAGTCACTGTTGGGGGGATACCATTAACTGATTCGCATGGCTTGGCAATGGGATCGCAGGCGCCTGCGCGAGGAAACCGAAAGGGAGAACGGAATCGAATTCAGTGTAGCAGGTACATACGAATGAGAAGCAGATTACGTCTATTTACTCACCAGTAAAATCATTTATATGGAAAACCTAACTAACGAGTGCACGGACCTTTGGGAAGCTTGTGATAGATGCCAACCTCTCGCCGCATGGAATGAGCTGGACGCATGCACCGGTCTAAGTTTAGTGCATATTTGGCACAAACACTAGGGTGCACATATCTGAGAGAAAGTATGCTCAGAACTTTAGTACTTCCTCCCAGCAAGTTTATTCACTGAAGTTACTCTATCCACCGTCGTTTGACGAACGAATGCTAGTGTCTGTTGGCCCAACATATTGCAAAAGGTTCCAAAGATGTTATTGGCGCAGCGTGACACTGGCCACAACTAACTCACCTGGAGTAGATATGAGACGTTAGATAAAAAAAGGATTACATTGACAGTTCTGCAGTGGAAATGAATCACATACGACAGTTCTCGGGTCTTTCGTCGAAACCGTCCGGGCAGTCAGACCTGCCGTCGCAGAACTGGCCGACATAGATGCAGTCTCCGCCAGGGCACCGCCTTTGGCCGGGTAGACAGCTCTGGTCCACGTAAATAGTTGCTGTTTTTGAATCGCCACCAGGTAGATGGCACCTAAAAGGGGAAGAAAATCGTTTGAAACTAACTCAAGTAGGTGACTGTCATAACGGGAACGCCGCCTGAATGCTTAGTAGCTACTCGGCAACGCATGCGGTAGTGACTGTAACAGGAGGAAGTTCAAACTTCTTTTTTGCGCAGAGCACCTTGACGGGCTTTCCGGTAAAGCCCAAACTGAGAAAGAAGTACCAAACTCACTCTAGCCGAATTTCTCGAGTTGCCATGTCCAACCCTCGAGGTATCTCGATGATAATCCTATTCGCCTGGGGTCGCGTGACCACGAACCTTCTGTCCATTGAGATAGGCCGGCCGTCGACGAAGCGCACATCTGGTACTGCCTCGAGTGTATCCGTGTGACACTCAAGGCGAATCGGACGACCTGGCTGAACACGTATCTCTCGGGGAGTAAAATGAATTCGTACCGGAACGATTGGCTCCGCTGTATTTCGCAAGGCAAATGCAGGAGGAAGCAAGGTGCGTATGATAATCTGAGGCGGAATCGAAGTTGACTGAGACGTTTCAATAGTATATCATGAACAACTGCTGAAGCCAAAATGTGACAGTTCGAACTTGGGGTACAGATACAGCCGGTTAAATGATTAACATAAAATAGTTTGTGTCTCGAGATGAACAGTAAAATCAGCTTCATGGGCCCAGGCACAACAACAGCCAAGTAACGCGAACTACCTCTGTCCGCCACAGGTCACAAATATGTGGTCGGTAGACTATTAATGAGAACTTTCGCTAGACCAGTTTAGCTGTGATGTGAGGCCGTCAAATTGCCGTTCAAGTAACCGACCTGGACGGGAACTTATTTGAAGCAAGTTCTCCACCCAAAGCACTATGAAAAGGTGGCAACTAATAGGTTTGTTCTTGGTTAATTCGATAGAAGACCGGCGAACTGATGCTGCTTATAACGCTCAACTGTAGAGCTTTTTGTCTATAAGAATCACCAGAGCCAATGAAAATGCGGACCACGCATCACGCTCTTTCCGTTCCCGTATGCTTCGTTTTCAGATCCTCATCGCACACCTGTTTGTTATGCGGGAAGATCACACAATGGATGATGTCACGGATTTTGAGATATCTGCGGTGACCACCCGACAATCTGGCAGAGGAACGTAGGTTAAGTTTAGAGAGAGACCCTGTTGTGCTGGTACATGTTGTCCTGCTGGACGGGAGCCTCGGAGTCGGCAACTTCGATAGTTAGATAATTTGCAGGCTAGGGTGCAGCAGCGCTGTGGCATTAGTATAGTCATAACTATTGTTTCTAATGCTTGTTTCTGACATTTTACTCCAACTGGTGCTTTTAATCTGTACTCTATTTGTTTTGAGTTGACCTCCAACAGAATGGACAAATGTCCACCAGTTTATCCCGTGAACGTCTCAAGTCGATGAGGACTATTCAAGAAACAAGGTAGTCTACCGCTGATTACCATCGAATGGTGTCGATACTAGCTGCCTAAATCAGTTTGGTAAGCAGCAAATACTTAGCTTAGCCTAATATTCCAAACAGAACAGTGTTTACTGATAGTGTACAGCAATTGACATCAGTTGGGAAGAAGGGCTAGACTATTTCATTTGCAGCGAAAAGCGGATCCTGACTCACATAGAACATTGTGATCGACTGTGGTAGAAAATTGGCAAGTTGGAAAGTAAAATGCCCCAAAACAAATTTTCATCTTGCTGAGACAAGTGATGGCCTACTTTAACCGTCGCTGAAGGAGTGACAATAACGTAAACGGTTGACACAGCAGCACCCCCAAAAGCTATTGAGCATTCAGCTGTTGTGTTGCTACATACGCCGCGGTTAGGTTTACCGTCCAAAAATCAGGACCACCATTTTGACGAATCTCTACGACTGGATGTTTGTCCATACGGCATTAGGTAACCCAAGGCCGTGAAAAGGACAAGCAGTTTATTGAATCAATATTCACATGACCAATGCCACTGTACGATATCGGTGCTCTGGTTCTCGTTTGAGGAGGATAACTACGTGCATCACACCAAACTAGTGACTGAGTTTGAAGCCTGGAATTCCCTGATGCTGTTACGAATGAAGCGGTCTACTGGCATCGAATGTTCGTAATCTGTAGGGGTACATAGTTTTCTTTTTTCTTTGTCAGCTCGGTAGATTTCTGCTTCCACGGCTGTTATAAATGAGAGTCCGCGGCTCATTTTCCGACTCAAATAAGCTGAACTACGGCTTATCACAATGCTGTACTGAGACTGCGCCCGTTTCGTGTATCCATCAATGAATCGAACTGTGTGATCCCTTTAAGTTGCGCACTTTTGCTGATGAAGCTGTTATGGTGCGAGTTAAATGGTTGAGATGTCCGTGAGCTGCTCTAAAATAGCCTGAAGATAATTCAGAGTTGATCATTGGGGAATCTGGTCCAGTTGAATGTGAGCATCTGGAAATTGGACTATGTACGCCACCATCAAAGTGAACAAGTGTTAGACCGGTTTGCGCTTCACATGCGCTCACAGCTAGATAGTTTGATATTCGTGACTGTCTCGTCACGTGATCATATTGGACACACGCAAGACATTCGTTCAGCGCTAGACTGCTCACCATTCATGACTATGTACTTTCATGTGGTTGGCCAATTTATCTTTTGCATATCAATTGCTCAGATTTGTCAGTCTTTCAATACAGCTCCTCTCGCACGGTGGTGTTCTTGCTTCCCGTTCGGAGTGGGATCCGTTACAGACAGACGTCATAATAGACTGGCGACGGAGGACGAGATCAGACAAGTATTTCAAACATCTATACGTCAACTTCCAGTAACGGCAGACGCAGTTAGAATATAAGCAGCAAGAGCTCTCCTGTTAAAACGTATTATGGGGTACCATAGCACTGGTTAGCCTGTACGCCCCTTTGACAGCTATGGTGAGCAGTTTCGTAAAGGGAAGTTGGCCTTAACCGCCACTGATGTTTGCTTGATGTTGTCTGACCGAGTTTTGATCCCTAAGATTCTACAGAAGAAGCTACTCAGGCAGTTCCACGAAGGTCACTCGGGAACCAGTCGTACTAAATCCATAGCCCGCAGCTATGCCTAATGGCCATTCATGAACCAGGATATTGAAAATGTGCTTCGTTCCTGTAGCTGCTGCGGTATGGCAGCAAAACTACCTGTCAAATGTGAGCTTCATTCTTGGCAAACTCCAAGTGGACCGTGGGCTCTCATTCATAGTAATTTTGCCGGCCCCATGGACGGTTTCCACTATTTAGTAATTGTCGATGCTTACTCAAAGTGGCATGAAATTTTCCACATAAGATACGCAACCACACGCACTGCTTTGTTACACCTACGCCGTCTTATCACAGAATTCGGTGTACCCGAAACGATTGTTTCGGACAATGGTTCCCAATTCACTTCTCAAGGATTTGCCGACCTTTGCATCTGACATAACATCGAATACATAAGGACTCCAGCGTACCATCCATAGGCAAACGGGCATGCTGAACTTTTTTCGGTACGTTTAAGTGAGCATTGATTAAAATGGAGGGAGAGGGGAATATCCATGAAATAATCGACACAATGTTGCAGATTTACCGTACGACGCCAGGTCCAGCAGTACCTCAAAACGTATTCCCATCCGAAGCGTTTCTCAGTAGGCGTGTCAGAACAATCATTGATGCTTCGAAGCCATCGCTACACAAGAAAGAGCGCGATGTTAAACTGGATTTGATTTTTAATCGCCATCATGGAGCACTCCCCCGGCATTTCGTTCCTGGTGCTAATGGGTACATAAAGAATTTTCGTGACGGAAGATCATCTTGAGTTCTTGGTCGTGTCGTTGAACGGATTCCGAGTGTTTTTACAGAATACAAGTAGATTCCAGCATATGGACTAGACATGTAAATCATATTAGACCCCGTTTTGAAGTGCAAATGACGTCCCAAAACAGGAAGCTTCACTACCGTTGAACATCTTGTAGGATACGCTTCAAATTACCCCATCTGAAGAGCCTGTCGTCCAAACAGAAAACGTAGCTACAGATCGAAGATACTCAACGCGAATCAGAGCGTCAATGCAGAGACTCGAATGGAACCCAAGACGTAAAGCATACCAATCAAACGTAGCGTGCTATTCTTTTCAATTTACAGGAATAAAGTGTTAGACAGGCTAACGCTTCACGGTCGCTTACAGCTAGATCGTTTGATATTCCTGTCTGTCTCGTCAGGTGATTGTGTTAGGTATACGCACGACATCCGTACAGAGCTAAATCACTCACTATTCATGACTATGTCCTCTCATGTTAGCAAAAGCTCGAGGCGCTTTTGTTAACCTTAGCCATTTATGACGCCGGCACGAAATCATTCTCGCCCTGAAGGGTAGGGTGTACAATGCAGCAGTACGTTCGACCCTACTGTACGGTCGTGAAAACTGGCCACTTAGATCAGCGGTGCCTTCGCAATTTGGCTCACATCTGGTGGGAACACCGCGTGAGCAACGAGCGTGTTCGACGCTTTGTTTACAGCACTGAAAAAGGAACTGAACCGCTCAGCACCGTTATTTCACGCACCAGGCTCCGATGGCCCGTCCACGGGTTACGCATGCCAGCCCACCGACTCCCGCGACGTGTGTTGTTTGCGCGCCGGGGGTGTGGATGGAAGAAGAGGAGGGGTGGCCAAGCAATGACTTGGTCGAGAGGAATGAAGGCCCTCACTTCGAAGTTGACCTCAGTTGAAGCGTCTCGGCTCCCTGGTTGGGGTCCGAAAGACGATGAACACGCTTGGCTGGATACACATGTTGATATGGCTAGGAGCCGACATCAATGGCGCTCATGCTGTGAGTCCCTTCGTCCCACCCATCACTCTTTGCCTCCCCCTCCAACTACGATGTCATCATTTAACATTTTATAATTTTGCATAGTAGACTATTTTTTTTCTGCCGCATAGTAGCCGGCAGGTAGCTTACCGGAACGATGCCCATCCGTTACCGGTAGCTCAGCTGGCTTGCAGCTGTTGCATTTTATTCCCTTTTTCTTTTGTGTACTGCGGCACAGTAATTGAGGTGCTTCCCACCTCTAGCTAACGTGTATAGTGTTGTGTGTGCCTCTCATGTGGTTGTCCAACTGATCTATAGATCTTTTTGCATCCCGGCTGCTCAGGTTTGTCAATCTTTCAATACAGCTCCTCCTTCTCGGTGATGTTCTTGCTTCCCGTTCGGAGTGGGTTCATTTACAGTAAGTCGTTATCAAAACAGGGTATATTTTTAATCCAAATCTTGTGGCATAACCTCAATATGTTGCAAGTGCTGACGTGACCAAACTGACCACAGCTTCTCGAAGAGCTGGATGACAACTATGTTGACTCTTATGGACGGCTTTCGGGGGATCGACTCTTTCGACTTCCCGTAAATTTTTACAACCCACCTGAAGACCCATTCTATGTACGAGGGGTGTTCAAATAGAAACCGAACTTTTTAACTAACACGCCAATCGGTAGATAGCGCGCGGCGGCTCCTGAGCTCATGTGTATACTTATGTAGACAACAAACTGTCATTTGCCACATTTCGCTCTGACTTTTGGTTGGCGAGCTACAGCAGCTGAAGTGAGCATCTGCACAAGCTGTTCGTCGGATTAGCGCCAAAGAGACAAGGAAAGATCTTGAAGAACAGTGTGTGTGCGTGTGAAATTTTGCTACAAAAGGCAAAACGTTTACAATATTTCCATTGCTTAGTCAAGCATACAGGGAGGAGTGTATGAGTCGCACGCACTGCTAAAAGTGAGTTGAGTGTTTTGAACACGGCAGAATGTTGGTCGGTGGCAATCTCAAGTCTTGACGGTCTTCCACATCAACAGAAGATGACCATGTCGACAGAGTTCGTGCTGTGATCTGTGGAAACCGGCGTTTAAGCGTTTGAGATGTTGCTGATGTGGTGGGCAACAGCGTAGGATCATGCCATCAAATTTCAACGTGTTTGATGGATGCTGTGTACAGGAAGAGACTGCACGGTGGGAAACCAGACTTGAATGTTACATCATGAAAATGCGCTGGCCCACACATCGCTCCTTGTCCGCAGCTAACTAGCAAAATAGCACACTGCTGTCGTGCCCCATCCACCGTATTCTCCGGAACTAGCCCCTGCAGACTTATTTCTCAAAGTTAAAACCACGTTGAAAGGATATCGTTTCAAACCATAGAGGTGATTCAAGACCATACGACAAGAGACCTGCTTGCCATCCCAGAAATTGCGGTCTAGGAGGCTTAGCAAAAATGGAAGAACCGTTGGGAATGGTGTGTTGCTAGTTGAGGGAACTACTTTAAGGGGGAAAGTGCTTAGACTGTTGTGCAATGCGCAATAACGATGCTATAGCAAAAGTTCGGTTTTTTTTTGAACACCCCTCGTATGTACTTTAGAGCCAGCAGCCGTGGCAGAAGCAGGGTGCTTAAGAGTGCTAAATACGTGTTCCATCTCACATCTCAACTTGGAGCGTTACTCGCAGGAATTCACAGCACGTGATGATGCTATAATGTGGTACTAAGTCCCTATGTATCCCAACCGCGCTTTCCAATGTCTGTTGAGATTTTACAACATCACTAGCCTGAAGTAACAGTATCTGAAGTTGGCCACGTAGAACGACCAGTCGAATTACTGTTGGAATTCTTTTTACACTTCTGTTTCAGTCATGAAACGCACCTCTTGGTTACCATTTGATTCCCCACTCGTTATTGAGGCTCGAACAAATTAATGTTAGCACACGGACCCACATACTGACCCACGTACTTTGCTCTTTCGAGGAATGTAAAATAAGCGAGCAGTATATTCGATGGTTATCGTCAACAAATGTGAGCAGGCGAATTGCCATGTTTTCATTGAACATCATGATAACAGCTAGGATACAGTGTATTTTGTTAACACCTTTAGTGTTGATTTCTAGACTCCACTCCTGACCAAGAGACCGGAAGATAGCAATCATTGTAGTTTTCTCCTCGAGGTGACATTATTCCCCTATACTCCAGCATCGCACACCAAGGAAGTATTGGGTGTTCCCATGTCTGATGAACTCAAGGAACAACTACCGGCCAGAACGTAGTTCTGCTCGACCGCAATCCAACTCACCATTAGGGACTCCTGAATAAGCAACGGCCACGTCGGCGCATGTGATCCCGACCTACGTCACCGTGACTTCGAATATCATGAAGGTGACTGTACTACTGACAATTAACCTACCCGATATGTATATCGGTTATTGTTAATGGTACTGAGGAGACAATACGAAATGCGTGCATCTACCAGCCTTCGTCTTTCCGTGCCTTTTAAATTATTGTAGGGAACTAACTGCTTTAAATTAATAAGTAGCTTGCCATCCTCGGGTTTAGGGTAGGAAACTTTGGCCACGCACTGCGGCAGTTGGTTCTGACCAGATGATTATTTCCGTTATTAACTGTTTTTGGTTAACATGTTTGTTTTACAATGTTACACTCACAACGTGTTCATATTGGTCGCTGGTTGAGTGGTACTCGGATCTACTATTATCCTATTCTTACAAGTCCTTTCGTTTATTCATATGCTTATTGTATTTCTTTGTTTAAATTTCTATTCTGGAAACGCGGTTAAACAATACAGTTTGTTCTACCCAAAGCCGTTGGTTCTAGCACCCAGACTGTGCGTTGGCCTGGTGGACCGGTCGGCTTTCTGACTTCGTTGTTGTAACAATCACTATTCACATATATGGATAGCCGCAAGAGCGATACGTAGAGCAACGCAAAACACATCATGGTTATGACAGCAATGTGTATCAATGCAACAGCTGTAGTAAAGAAACGTGAAGATCAAAAGCACTCACGACATTGAGGTGGTAGTTCGTCTGAGCCGTCTGGACAATCTCGCACACCATTGCAGATAGACTGAATGGAAATACAAGTGCCATCCCTGCAAGTGAACTGGTCCGAGCGACATGTAGTTCCAACAGTGACAGGAACCTCTTTTCGTGTTCCTGTAACTACTGAGCAACTAAGATGGGAAGAGTTGGAAAGAGGTGATTTGGTGGGTCTAAGTCGGTGCAAACTAGAGAGTCAGCTGCGCAGTTTCTTAGCTGCACCTGGCTAGTAACGTAACATCAACTCAGATCATATATTTTTGATTGTGCATGACGAAGCACCAACAAGCGGGATTCGTGAAAACATATCATCCCGAAAAGTAACGTTTCGTAAACTCAAATAAATAAGAAAACTTTCAAATGACTTCCGAAACTCAGAGTTTGTAGAAAAAAGTTTGGGCGCAGGTTATAAAATAGTGATGTAGTCAAATGGTATACGGATTACACCAAAACAGGCAGGACCGCGTACTGAGCCCACAGTTTCATTTAAACAACGTGCACGAAGTTCACTAACGCAGTGCAAGCATAACCATCCGAAGTGAGTGATTTAGACTACCAAAATGCTAACGGCACGTACGAGAAGATATGGAAACCAGCTCTTGGTAGACCACGCTCGGCGGTAACAATGACACGATCCGCTGAAGGTCGGCTAACAACAAATTCCGGGACTTGATCCACTGGAAACCCATCGAATGTAACCTGTGGCGTCAAACTCGGTAGAGGGGAGATGCATTCGTAAGTGAAGCGCTCGTTGGGCATGACGGTGAGGGTGCCAGGTTTGACAATTACCTCGACAGGCTGCAGAATGGAAAATGGCGTAATTCGGGTAGTGTGCGGTCAAATTCCGTTATGCAGTCATCACAAAACGCTTCTCTGTTCAGTGATATGGGAACCATGTGGATCCATTATATCAACCAGAGAACACTTCGAGGGGCGCAAGGGTCGCATTCATTCGTATGAGATACGCACACGACAGTTACATGAAGTCCCTAGTACATACACACCGACACACATATATGGCAGGGGGCATTCGTGTCCAGACAAGCGTACCACTGCGGCCCTCCATAGGACAAGCACAGGACGCCTGCGCCCACAGAGGGACCGTGAGTAGCGCGCGCTGCACCACCCACAGCGCCATCCACACACCCCATAACCAGTGCAACCCCGAAGGAATATGACCTAGAGGCATGCGGATAGGTGCCACGTTTCATTGACGGAGCTGGCCACACACCAACTGAACAGCAGCATTTCCGTCCATCTAATTTGGGCAGCATGCTTACCAGACGTGCACAACGTGATGGCAGGGACGTAGCCAACGCCAAACAGGACGGATCTGATTTGCCATACTGCCATCTCTGTCCGCCATCTTGGATTTGCTCTAGCTTGTGATGCCGTCTCAAGCTACTTGTGGTTCGTGTTCGAAAGTTGTGGGAAATAAGGCTCATGCACTTCGATGCTTCAGCTGTGATGTTTTGTTCCATATTTCGTGCATTGGCTTATCCGTTGACCTGTTTCGAAAATCGCTCGACATCCGACATCGGTTTTTCAAGTTATATGTGATAAATGTCGCGGTACAAGACATCAGAATACGCAGCGACCGCAAACAACTGCGGGAAAATCTCTCTTTCGGATAGAAACAAACCGTTCACCACGTGGGATCAAACGCCCTCGTGAAAGTACCTCTGTCTCCTCGCCTTTTATTGTCACTCCGCGATCTGCACCACCACCAGCGTCTTCGACCCCGGCCGAACCCCAGGTTCAATGTTTCCCACCGATGGAAGACTCAGACTCAGAAGCTACGAAATGCCGCTTCACTGATCGGTCCGTGAATTTCGCAGAGCCTGTCTGTGAACTTCTGAACACCGAGGATCCATGGACCACTCAAAAGCGCAGGGGCCCACGTAATCGAGTTCAGACGTCACCTGCTGATAAACAACTACCCAATCAGTTAAGCGCCTCTAGTTCTGCTCCCACAGGTTCATCACTGATTTCGCTGAGGCGTCATAATCTCATGGTCTTCCACGTACCGGAGTCAAAAGATGAAAACCCTCAGATACGTTATGATCACGATGTTGAGTTCCTCCAGGGGCTCATCGATAGACTCTTGGATGTGGGCGAGGACAGTGTGACGAGTAAACAAGTAATCCGACTCGGCCAGAAAACTAACCAGTCATGTCGACCTCTGAGGATCACCTTTGCAAATCCTAATATGCCGCAGCTCATACTGTCTCGTCTGTCAAGGCTGAAAGGCATAAAAGTTCACATCCGCCGAGATTTGGAACCCGAGGACAGGGATCGTTTGAAGACTGCGGTCATTGAGCTCAAACGCCGTACAGAGGAAGGTGAGACTGACTTACAAGTTGTAAATTTTCGGGTGATCAAGAAGGGTGTACGTACCCGTATCAACCGGTTGCTCAACCTCCAGGCACGTCCCGCAATACCTCCCAGAACCTCCGTGTCGCATTCGCCAACGTGTGCAGCCTAATGAACAAACATGACGAACTGTGCCGCTTCGCTGTCTCGGAGCGGCCGGACATTTTAGGACTTGCAGAGACGGCTTAACTCCGACATCATACCCCAAGAAGTCGTGTTGTCAGGATACTCTTGTTTCCGATGTGACCGAAAATCAAAGGCTCACGGTGGTGTTCTGTTGTACATAAAATCGTCACTATCTGGCAAACTTATCAGTACCTATCGGAGCGAGGATAGTTTATGCGAGCAATTGTGGTGCACAATCCGTCTCAGGCGCGCAGAACTAATAGTGGGGGTTATCTACCGGAGCCCATTAAACCGTTGCTGCGATTGGATACCACATGTACAGAAGCACATGAGCCGCCCTCAGTTCTTACTGATTAGGGATCTAAATTTACCTAAGATATTTTGGCCAGACGTTCGACTTCTTCCCGGTCATGGCAACGTTGAGGCTCAATTCGCTAAAATGACTATTGAAATTTGGGCAACGCAACATGTCATCCAACCGACGCGCGTAACTCCGTACTCGGCATCTTGTCTGGACCTAATGTTTACGAGCTGCGAGCGGAAGCTAAAAGAGATCAGTCATCGAACCTCTGGCGAACAGTGACCACTGCTCTATTGTAGCAAGCTTAGAACTGTCGTTACCATATTACAATCAACAGAAGCCGACATTCAACTATTGGAAGACGGACTTCAACGGACTCGTCCAAGCCGCAAGTCAGACTGATTAAACACTACCACATGATGCGTCACTTGAGGCGTGGTGGTCATTAATAAAGGGGAAGCTTAACTCGCTCTGTACTCGGTTCGTTCCCCTTAAGTATCCAAAAATCGGACCTGTCAAACCGCATTGGTTTGATAGGGAATACAGACACTTAGCGCGACGACGTCGTAAAATTTGGGATAGATACATCAGCTCGGGTTGTGATGAAGAGTACACGGTGTACAAGAAACAGCGTAACTTATGTAACGCCGCAAAGATTAAGAAACGCCGGCAGTTCGAAGAGGAGCTAGCATCCTCCGCCACAACTGCACCCAAGCGAATATTTGCCTACTTGAAACGTCAACTGAAACCTGGAGACGACCTACCGGTCTTAGAGAGCTTAGACGGGGAGACACTCATTTCAAGCGCGGAGCGCGCGGACGCCCTGTCTACGCACTTCCTCACTATATTTTCCAGTAAACCGGCGGCTGTTCCAGTACCGGCACAGGTTGCGCAAGTCTTGCTCGACAGCCTACAATGTGATGCAGTCGAAGCACATCAGCTACTCGTCAACCTCAATGGTGCAAAGCCCCCCGGACCAGACGGACTTCACCCACTAATACTCAAGTCCCTATCGATTATCATCTTACCAGCTGTGACAAACCTTTTCAATAGATCGCTCTCTGAAGAATCCGTCCCGAACGACTGGAAATGCTCGATAGTTAAACCGCTTCCCAAGGGTGGTGATCCGAGTAAAATAGAGAACTATAGACCGATCTGTTTGACTTCGGTATTATCCAAAGTGCTCGAGACGGTTGTGAAAAAGTGTCTGCTGTCGTTCTTCGAATCGATGGACATATTGACGCCAGCGCAACACGGCTTTACGAAAGGGCGATCCTGCATCACCAACTTGATGTACGCAAACCACCAGTGGGTTCGAGCTCTCAATGAACAGAAGGATGTTGACGTGGTGTACATCGACTTTAGTAAGGCCTTTGACAGAGTGAACCACGAGGTACTCCTTCGTAAACTGAGGACATACGGAATCGGTGGCACGTTACTTCAGTGGATACAAGAGTTTATTGTGGGACGAAGGTTTAGAGTACAGGTCAATGACTATCTGACAGAATGGTTCCCATCGACCAGTGGCGTGCCTCAAGGAACTGTACTTGGGCCAGTATTATTTCTTATTCATACCAACGATCTTCCGCAGCAGCTCCAGTCACCATGTGTCCCGTTTGCAGATGATTTGAAAATCTGGAGGATCATTGAAAACCAGGACGACTGCGCTCGCCTCCAGCATGACTTAGAGCGACTGTCAACGTGGTCCACTGAAATGCAACTCCCTCTTAACGCAAGCAAGTCGGAGTTCATCAGTATCACCAGACGTCCAGCCACTCGATCATACACTTTGGACGGCCAGTTGCTCCATCCCAACACATCTGTCAGAGACTTAGGAGTTCTCTCACGACATGATTTAAGATCACTAGAAAATACAGAGAAATTGTACCGTGCGGGACTTCGTATGCTCTGGGCATTAAGATGCAGTTTCTCCACATGGTCCGAAGAAACCGTCCCTCGTCTATTCACCTCGCTCATTAGACCAATCCTTGAATACGGTGCCCCAGCTTACCATCCGATAACCCAATGGGAAACTGAAAAGCTGGAGAAAATACAGCATATCGCAACTAGAATGATACCAAGTCTACGAAAGCTTCCATATGAAAAACGTTGTGAAAAGCTCGGACTCTACACACTATCCTATCGCCGAGTAAGAATGGATCTTATTATGACCCATCGAGTACTACACTTGAATCACTTCCCCATACTGCGGCCAATATTTCACCTGCGAGAACCCTGTAACACCCGAGGATATCGTTACAAACTCAGGGTCCCCATCATGAACAAAGTATCACATCAGCTTTGTATCGAACGAAGAATCGTAAACTTATGGAATACACTACCAGAAGGATTAATGGAGGCCGATTCTGTGAGGCGTTTTAAACCCCGTATCGACGATTATTTTGGAAACCTGTGCTTTATTGAAACGATGCACATACAGTGCCAAAAGAAGACATTGTATGTCCGGAAATAATGACGCTAGTACAAATTTCTAACCGAACACGGATAAACGATTAACGGACCAGACACAACTGCTGATAACTCACAAGTAAATTTTGATTTTTCGTAATTCGATAGAGTTGTACAGAAACCTCTCTACTTGCTCTTAAATACAGTCTCAGTCTCAGAATCCGTGAGCATCGACCGACTCAAACCAGCTTACGTTGAACCTACAGTCGATAGCACAGACACCGTTTCCTCTTCTCAGAATACTCCCGCCCCTGACTCATTACCTTCTACCCAACAACACACTGACGCCAGTACACCGAGTCCGCTGCGCCCTCCGACTACACGCAGCTCCACACACACACGTTCTGGTCGTGTTGTTTCCATTCCACATAAGCTTGCTCAGTACGTTCCGTAGGTATCTCGTCGAGCGTTTTCCTAGTGCACGCTCTAGAGGGGGAGTACTGTAGCGATTGTAAATAATTTGCTTATTTTCCATTTCCACACTTACCTATTTCGCTGCAGTTGGTGTACATCTTTGTTTTAATTAAC